GGGGCAGGAGTTGGGATCCCCCCGGCGCGGTTCTCACAGCTGCTGCCCCCGGCAGGGAGATCCAGGAGGAGGAGCTGCGCAGATTCGCCGCCCGCGTCGCCGCCCTCCTGCAGGGCCCGGAGCTTGGCACCGAGGCCGTGAACTGTCTGCAGAGACTGCACCTCACCATCGCCGCCACCAAGTACCCCCGCAAGTGAGTGGCCTTCAAAGAAGCAAAACAATACTTTCCTAACCGAAAATAAGGAAGTGGGGGATTTGTGCTTTAAAAAAAAATCCTGTTTTGGAAACCCTGAGTTCAATGTAAACACAGAACCCCTTTCTGCCTTTCACCCCTTGCTAAGCAGAAGGTGTCTATCTCCTTTTGCCGTGAGTGACAAATGTTGGTGTCACTGAGTTCTCTGTCAAGCTGCACTGAGGAACAACATTCAGAAGTGAAGATGATAAGGTGGCATTAGTCAGTGTCGCTGTCAAGAGGGATCATCCCAAGGCCAAGAATACGTAGGAGATATATGTCTGAATCTTTTCTTGCCTTGCAGTGATGCTTTACTATGACTCTTGCAGGCTAGATGGCAAGTTTGTGGAGCTGTTGCAGACAGTGCTGTGCTCATCCAAAAGCCCTGAGCAGATTCAGGTGCTATGTGCTGCCATCCTGAGAGAGATGTCACCTTGCAATGATCTGATCCTCTCCTGTGATGACATTCAAGATACAAAGCTCTTGAGCCTGGTGTCCTCCATCCTTCTGGCTCAGGTAAATGACCTGTCAAGTCAGAAATCTTCCCTTGTCAAAATGGATTTGCTTTTTGATTGTTCTCTGTTCCTGAGCTCCTCCCTGAGCTCAAGGGGAGTGAAAATCAATGGATAGTATGTAGGAAAAAGCAGAAGCATTTCTGTGTTCATTTAAAGAACCTCATTATTCTGCTTTGCAACTTATTGTGTTTAGCATTTGATAACAAAAACTGCTTAAAATTATAATTTACAGAGACTGAGGTCCTGGAAGCCAAAAAGAACTCTTTAGTGCTTGCAGCTGGAATAGATTTCAAGCCAGGGCTGTTTGAACCTGGAGAGAAAAAGATTTTAAACTGAATTTACTACTACTTCTTCTTCTTTTTATGATATTGGCTTTCAGGTTCAGAGATAAAAAATTATAGATAGAACCTATAAAATATGTAAGGCTCTAAATGTGAATGACACTTCAAAGATCCAGATTCTCCCTGGAGAAGCAAACATGAGGACCTTGCTGTATTCTGTGCTGCCTGGGGAATAAGCTTTTTTTTCTTTTTTTCCTTCTACTTCTTTTGGTATTATTGTACTTACTAAAGAGAAAATATTTTTCTGAAACTTCTCATCCTGAGTTTCACTGTGTGCTTAGAAATGCCTCCTACATGTCTGATCATTTGTCTGAGTCTTCCTTAGCTGAAGGAAATGAAACAGAAACAGAAACCAACAATGTGTTGCTTATGTGCTGCCTTACATTGCTTCTGTCTCCCAGATCCAGCCCTGAGACAGTCCTACAGTTCCACATTGTAAAAACATACTCAGTAACACACATAAACAGCCCCATAATGTGGGGTCTGTGAATTCAATTTGCAGTAAATCTCTGTAAAATGTAATTAAATAGCCTGTGCTGGGAGTTTTCTTTGTGTTTGACTTTGGTTTGATGCCTGATGGAAGAGATGGTGTGGTGTTGGTCTCTAGCACCATGTAGATTATATGACTAACTTTTCCTCTGCTTTATTTTTAAGGGAAATACGAAGGGTGAAGTCTCTGCTGTTGGGCAACGTGTTGTAAAAGTCCTTGGGAGAAGATTGCCTGAGGGTCAGAGTGCTCTGTGCCTGCTTCCTGTGCTGGCAAATGTCATCAGTCTTTCACCAGAGTCTCTAATCGAAGGTAAATGCATAGGAAGGGCTGAGATTGCCACCTGGCTGTGATCTGTGTAGTGATCAGAAGGCTCTCTGAAGCTGTAAACTGATGTCAAAAGTGACATCTGTGCCACAAAGAAAGTGAACTTACTGGGCAAGATACATTCCACCACACAAAAATGGGACTGGACCTTCCAGTCAAATTCTGGATATGGATTCCTATCATAGTAACTTGTACTTTAGCTAAGATCTCCAAATGAGTAGGAGTGTGAAGCTATCCTGAAGAGCATCAAGCGAAGTCAGAGAGAGAAAAACAGATGTACCTGTGCATCTGTTCAAGAGAGCAGGATAAACAACTAAAGGTGCTCTTCCTAAGAGAGGCAGGATGGTATGGGTAGCTGGTGAGTGATATGCCCTGGTGAGTAAACCTAGGAGAGCATTCCAGGCTGAAGATGGTATGGAGCAAGAGTCAGTTCCTGGGAGTTCCCTGTGAGGTTTGCATACCTCCCACAGTATGCAGAAGTTTTGGGAAGCACTCTGGGCCAGGGTATATGGCCTGGCAGAGCAGGTAGGATTCCCTGCCTTAGCTTCTGCAAGTTCTCAGTGAGGAATTTATGCCTTTGGCTGCAGAGCTGAAGCCAGACACTGCCTTCATAGAGTGACAGTATTTTTGCACCTTCCTCATAATAGCGGCTGTAGGTGGAGACAAAGAAACTAGTACCTCTTGACTGATCTGGTAGTAGGTCTTTGGTTCGAGCACTCACCCCCTGACTCTGAGATAGTATGAGGAGTACAGAGCATCCACCCTGGGGTAACAGTTTCTTTACAGATGGGTAGATCAGAGAGACAGTGACCTAGGCTGGACAAAAAGCAGAGCAGTTGAGGGGTAACAGGTATGTTGCAGAGGCTGCTTCTCTGCCCAGTTTAGCAATGACCCTGTGACTTTCCTTGTGCAGAGCAGACTGATGTTGTCAGTAAAAAGCTGGCTGACTGGCTGAGGTATGCAAGTACGCAGCAAGGAATTGCTCAAGCCTCTGGAGGCTTCTTCTCCAGTCCCAGAACCAAACAGGTGAGTGCTGAGTTGCTGTGGTCACTTCACAGAGGCATTTGTAAGTCCATTACCTGCCATTTCGGGTTCCCAAAATCACCTTTTTCTGGGAAGTGATAGCCTGGAAGTGCTGTTGTTCTTCATCATTTTTTGTGGTTCAAGACACGTAGGAAAGCAAAGTAGGGGAATTTATAGCTCTGAGATTTAAGAGTTCTGCTGTAGAGCCAGAACTTTAATCCTCGAAGTAGTTTTAAGGGAAGAGTCTTTTAGTGACCTTGTACCTTGGCGTAAAAGCTGATTGCAGATGAGGCCTGTGTCAGAAAGGGGGAGGTTTGCAGTGTTTCAGCTGGGGAGAAGGATCCAGCACAACTGGTTTTTCTCTGTCTTGATAACTGCCTTCCTGTAAGACTCTAAATGAGGGTTACTTCTCTCTGTGGCTTCAGTGAGGTTTTCCCTGCCTTCCCACTTAGCCTTTCCCTGTGGATCTGACCTGCTGCATCTTTTCTCTCAGCCTGCTCCTGTCACAGAGATGGATGGTGCCATTGCCACAGACTTCTTCACAGTGCTCTCAGTGGCTCAGCACTACACACAGGACCAGTGGCTGAATGTCCAAGCCTTCTCCATGCTGCGCAAGTGGCTGCTGTGCTATGGGGGCAAGCAGGTGAAGACCACTAATCCAGGTATGAGCCTAAGGGCTGCAGGACTGTGGGTTGCATCCCCACAAGTGGGCTCTGTGCTCTGAGATATCCTATGAGGTGGCTGCACTAGCAACCTCAGCAAGCGGCAGGAGTATGGGTGAGAGTTCAGAAATACTGGACTAAGAGCAGGGAAACTTTGGGAAGGAATATCACAAAACCTTCTGACTGATCCTTGCTGACCCTTCCACAGGAATTGCTTGTTCAGTGAGTCCTGTGATTTCAGGCAAAGCCCCATGGATCCCTAGAAAAGAAGGCTTGGGTGGTGGGAGACAGCATCTCCTTAGTGTTCTTGTAACAGTCCCTTCTCCGCTGGCCTCCAGCTCTTCACACTGCACCTGAGGACAGAGTTCCCCTGCTGTTGCTGGGCCACCATGTGGGTTACATTGCCTGTGACATGAGCTGATACGTGGTGATCTTTGTTCTGTAGGTGACAAACCAGGAATGGACAAGTCTGTTACATCCATGGTCTCAACTTCATCCACACCCAGTCGCCTTCTTCCCCCAAAGGAGCGTCTGCGGGAGAAAGCCTTCGAGTACTGCCAGCGGCTTATCGAGCAGAGCAACCGGCGTGAGTCTTGCCATGAGCCCTCCCTGGAGTCCTCTTGGTAGTGTTCTCGAAAATATTTCTGTTTCACTGCATGTTTGGGCAGGGATCTGACTCCCAAGAGTCCACAGTCAGGCTCCAGGGATAGGACCTACTGCACCTGCTGGTGCAAGTCATTAACCAACCCTGAGCTGGGGTGTTGGGAGGGATTTGGAGGCAACAGCCATGTTCTGCCTCCTGACCTTGATTTGCAGAGGAGACTGTGAAACTTGGTTCTCATTGGCCTGAAATCAGGATCAGTGTGTGTTCCTGCCTGCCCTGAAACTGGGGTTAGTGCTCAAATTGACAGCCTAATGTTCTTGTTTGGGCTCAAAGCTAAACTTGGACTCCTTTCTCTGGCAGGACCCCTGAAAAAAGATGATGGAGACCTGCAAAAAGCTGTAAGTACACAGAGGTGGGGCTGAAGCTCTGGCAGTTGTGTCTTCTCCCACTTGAACCTGACTCTCTGCTCTCCTACAGTGTCTCATTGAGGCAGTGGCAATCATGGACATCATCTGCAAACAGGATTCCTCCTACGTGTACCGTGCCGTCTCTTTCCTGAAAATCCTGCACAGCAGGATCTGTGGGGATGCCACTTATGCCAGGGCACTACTGCCCATTGCCCAGTTCTTCCTGAACCACAGTAAGTCATCAGCTCCCACCCCTGCCTCCACGATCCAGTCTGGCATACTCCAGCATAGCCTTTTGTCCTGGCAGTTTGCTGACTGCCAAGGTTGGTAATTCTGCCTGGGCTGTACTGTGGGATGGATGATTCCACTCCAGGAGACCCAGGAGCTGGGGGATCCCATGCTCTTTAGAATAACATAACCCAGATTTAGCTTAGCCCCTGGGGCCCATGTTGGCAGGGCTGCTGGATGGGCTGTGCTCAGCAATGTACTGTGTCCTCCCAGGCAAACCATCAGCTGCAGACTTTGACACAATCTACAAGCATTTGTTCACTGACATCCCAGCTCAGCTCTTCCACAATCCATCACTGGCCTTTGAATTTGTCCAGTTCTGTAAAGAGAACAGCCAGCTCCTTGTGGACACCTCCAGCATATTCAGGCAAAGCTTCCCAAATCTCTTCAAGGTACAACTTGCTGGAGCAGCAGAGGGGAGGGCCTGCTTCACATTCCTTTCTGTACCCTAGAACATCCTGTTTGCATTCCACAGCCCTCCATGTGCCTCTGTGGCAGTGCTAGGGAGAGCATGGGCAAGGACTGTTAGAAAAGCCACTGTGAGTTTGAAGAGGGAGGAGGGTTCTGGGTGTGATTGGCACTGCCAGGGGAGGAGAGTCTCCGGTAGCATGACTGCCAGTGGGCTGCACAGTGAACACAGGGCACAGCACTTTCTTTCTGGAAAAATTTAGTAAGTTGCAGCTTGCCAGCCACTGAAACAGCTGCCAGATGCCTGTGCTGAGCTTCCAGCAACCTCCTGGGTTTTGACTAAACCCTGAGACTTCTCTGCTTTTGCTTTTCAGAAGTGACTTTTCCTTCCCCATCCCTTCTGGTCACAGTGTGGAATTGTCTGAGTGTGTGATGGAGTAGCAGAGATAATGCAGCAGTTTGTGCTTGTTCTTTGCAGTTCCTGGCATGGAACAGCCCACCTCTCATCTCTGAGTTTGTGGACCTTCTCCCATTTCTGCTGGATGCAGGCACAGCCATTGAGATCTTCCATTTGCTGCTTGACCTGCCCTGTTTGACAGCAGCTCTGGACATCCACCTGAGGTAATACACCTTGCCTTCCTCTCACTTGTTAATCAGCATCTTGACATTGACCGTATCCCAGTACACAATTCTCTTGAGCCTCAGCTTTCCTCTGGCTGCTCTTACACTTCAGTACTGGACTGTCTTTGGAGCTCAGGGAGCTGTTGTCATTTCCCTCTCCTTGTCCAGCTCCAAATGGTTGCCGTGTGCTGGAGTCACCACCTCAACATGGAGGTCTTCCTTCTCTGCTTTTACCCCTCTTTTCTGGCATTGTTCTCCTGGAGGCATACAGAGGTTTCTTCCTGAAATCATTAGCAACTGTGAGTCTTCAGGAAGATGGAATAGGACTGGAACTGGCTGTACCTCTGCTCTTCTGTGTCCTCCTGATGTTATCAGCTCTTTCTGGAGTGCTTAGAAAAGAGTTATCCTAGAGGCAAGATAGTGATGGGCTTGCATGACTGAGGGATACAGAATGCTATTTTTCCTTACCAGGAGTGATACATAAGCAAGTCTGGAAGTATTGCCTGAGCACGGGGAGGATCTGAGCTCACAATTTTCTGTTATCCTGGTTTTCTGTCTTCCAGAGGGCCTAGATTAGACCAACTTGCTGTCCCTGGTTCAGTGTTCAGGGGTCCAGCTATGCCCTGTCCCATTTTCATAATGCAGCACATTCTCTGTGTGTTTCCTGCTAGGTCAGCTGCTCTTTCTACCTCTGAGAAGGCCATCAGTGACCCAGCAGTGAAACCAGCCACTTGTCAGGAAGCCTTTCGCCATCCCCTCTACAAGAGCACGTTCCAGTATCTTCTCCGCACCAAGTCCACTCCTGAGGATGCCCCAGAGAGGTAGGAGCCTGCCACCGGAGTGTGGTTCACCCATCGAGCTCTGGGAGGCAGCACTGGGATTACTGGGAAAGGCACAGCCACTCTCAGCTGGCGTGAGGTGGATTTCTCTTCCCTGTGTTAGCTTTGCCAGTGCTCACAGGTCTTGTGGGGGATAGGGAAGGGCAGCCAGGAGAGTAGGTGGGAACAAGCCTTCAACAGTAACTCTTCCCTTGCCCACAGTCTGATTCCCCTTCGACAGCTGCTGGGATCCCTGGCCAGCAACCCAAGGGTGGTGCAGTGTGCAGAGACTGTCCCTGTCTTATTGGAGCTCTTTTTCAGGGTGGTGGCAGAGGTATGTCCTTTTGGGGGAGTTTGGCTCCCAGTTGTGCCATGGGGATCTCTTGTTATGTGAAGAGCAGTCATAAAAACAAAAAAAGATGCTGCAGCTTCAAGAGAGGGGTG